GAACATCACTTGATGACTTTGAAATCCCAGATCAATAAGTTACGATTGCGAAGAAAATTCCACTATAAAATTGGTAAGTTTTTGTGGACTCATCCCTAAGGAAGAAAATACATGCAAATAAGGTCAACAGATGATAACACAAAGCTCACTCAATTAGGAAAAAATCCAATAATGTCATATTTTATTTTAACGAGAGATCGTTGCGAATAGTTTTGGGATTTTCTTGGATTGTTACAAGGGAATGCCAGATTGATATGGCCTATTAGTGGAATAAAAACAGACGTAATATAGTGGTCAGGAATAAAAGTGTAAATAAAGAAGCACGAAGGGGTTAGTCTTTCATTAGTTAAACACCAATAAGACTACAATATGATAACATGTAAAGGTTGGTGGTGAATGTAATAAGAAAGTATCCCACAATGTATAAACAGTAAGACCCTAAACAAGCAACTCAAATACAAATAAACTCAAAGGCGAACATGCGAACAGTCAGTATGGATGACTCACGTGTATTTTGATGAATTCGATTGAGCGAATGCATATGGGCATTTAGTATTCTAGTGACTTGGCCAATTGGATCCTTCGGACGACCGGCATCATGGTCAGATGCAGTGATCGCGTTTTCATCTCCGATCACCCGAGCCAAATGGGCCCCACTTGAGTCAACATGCTCTGCAATTTCCCTTATTTCTGATAAAAATTGATTTAACTCAAGGTCCGTGCTAGTCGCAAGCTGATAGATTCCCTCTCTTTCGATATCGGCATGATGTTGACTTGGTGGGAGCTCACTGGCAGCTCGCTCAAGCGGCTCAAGAAGCTGTTCCAATTCGCGCTGTTGAGCTTCTACAAACTGTAGTTCCTATGTGAGAAATGAAACAAATCAATAAAATTAAGTGAACCCGGCGCAAGATGTGGGTTGAACTCAAACGATTTAGAATGATACCGGTGTATGGAATTTAAGTAAAGTTTACAAGACTCGATGGAATTTATAATCTGATAGGTGTATGAGACAGAGCTAGTTAACAACAACCGAACTTAAATGATGAGTGGCCACGAAATTAGGCAAGGGACTTGAGTAGGCTCCACAAAAAAATGAACGACAATGAAGAAAACATCCGATGCAAAGGAGAGTGTATATAAGAAAAAGCGAGTTTCAATTAATCTTCCGAGATAAAAATGTTGAGACTTTCTTTTATGAAAGTGCATAATGAAGAGATTTGTAGGTCGATCTCACCAGAAGACGACGGATCTTTCTCACTGCACTGCAGCCGTTTGGCTTCAATACAACGTTCAAATTGACAAAGTCCACGAGACATCCTCTTTTGTTTCAGGCGAAAACGGGCTGAGCTTTCGTTCTTCATGACGAAAATCATCAGAGCTGTGACCTATTCATGCAAATCTCAACACTAAGAAGACTGATTGGTTGTCTGACATGATATACATGTTCATAACATAGCAATGAGATATAAATAGATATACAATGGTTTGGCTGGTTACATTATAGAAGAATGTATCCTTACTTAGTGTTAACTCGAAGCTCCTGCAAGAATAAGTCATAGCTTTGACGATGTTCGTCGTATGAAAAATGAAAGCTCAACCTTTTTTCGTCAAAAACAAAGTAGAATGTATCATGGAATGCGTCAGCCTGAACGTCGTATTAAAGTCAAACG